ACTGATTACACTGTAAATGATAATCTACCTTATATATATATATATATATATATCGTCACAAACAGAACTGCCCGGTAAACCGTAGGCAGAGAGAGAGAAGAGGACAACAAACGAGGGGCTGTGACAAACTGTTATATATGTATATATATTATATATTTGTTCAAGCGTGCCGTTTTGGCGACAGACGGCTGTGTGGGCCCTTCCCACTCAACCAGACAAATGTGGGTAACCTTGCACCTTCTATTATATTGCTCATCCATACTTTTTTTTGTTTATGGATGGTTTGTGATGGTATGTGGATGGAAAGAGAGAGAGAGAGAGTTTGGGATGTTGAAACACACGCACACACACACACACACACACACACACACACACACACACACACACACACACAGGGCTAAGAATTGACTGTGTGCGCTTGTAAGCCATAGGAATCTAGGAATCTACGGCTCACTGTAATGTACTATTTTTCCTTCTTAGAGGAGACTTCTGCTTTTCGTTTTTTTCAAAAAAAAAGGAAAAAAAAAAGGCTCCTATTCTTGGGAGAAGCATTCTGGTCCCTTTCCAGCCGGCAAGTTAGACTTGAAACTTCTGCTTTTCCTGTAATTTGGCCAACCGGGTTTCTTTGGCGTCGTCAACAAAAAGGCAGGGAAAAAAAAAAGAAAAAAAAAAAGGCAGACCTCTGATGTTGATTCAGGAAACCAGATAGCAGGTTCGCATGTTGGTTCACGTCTGTCGTTGCAGCCCTGCAGCCTAAAAAGAGAGAGAGGCTCTAGATTCGAGGCCTTCAACTTTCAAGAACAACAAGAGGTAGGTCTCTTTATTTATTATTAAAAAAAAAAAAAAAATCTGCTTGTTTTCTAGTCAGTCATTAGTGACAATATTGACGATGATTAGTCTCTTTTTTCTGGGTAAGTTTTCCGGGCCGCCCGGGGGACCGGCGGGGGCCCCGGGGGGGGGGCCGGGCGGCCTGGCCGGGCAGTGCACTTGGTCGGTCCGTGGGCCCCCCCAGCGCACAGGGTATTTCGGGGTTTTTCGACCCCATTTCGAACGCTGGTGGGCTCCCGCAGACCTACCGGGTCCGACCGGCCCGAAAACCCGCAGCATCGGGCCCGATAGGCCTGCGGGAGTGGGTTTGAAAATTGCGGCGGGTATGTGGCCGTCGATCCGCCTTGACCGACGGCCACAGAGCCATCGCAAGTTTCCCGCCCAGATTTGAATGGCGGCGATCTTGCCCGCAGCCCGTCCGTGGGTGTTCGCTGGAGCTTCCCCCTTCGACCCGCAGCCTTTCGAAGTTGCGCCGCCCGTGGTTGTTCGCTGGAGCTGCCCCCTTCGCCTGTCATTCGTCGTCGCCGTTTGCAGGAGCTTGTCTTCCTCGCCCGCCGCTCGTCGTCGTCGTCAGCTGGAGCCGGTCGTCGCCCGTCGCCGTTTGCAGGAGCTGCCCCCTTCGCTCATCGCCGTTCGCAGGAGATGCCGCCATTCTTCTTCTTCTTCTTCTTCTTCTTCTTCTTCTTGTTGCATCAGTCAACCTTTGGCAGTTAACGGCGATCTTTATCTTCTTCGGCCTTTTGGCTGTTTGGGGCAGGGCACATCTTCGGCGACCTTAGGCAGTTGTCGAGAACGGCGAACGAAAAAAAAAAAAAAAAAAAGGTCGTCCTCCTCCCCCTCCTCCGCTCTTCTTCTTCTTCTTCTTCTTCTTCTTCTTCTTCTTCTTGTTGCATCAGTCAACCTTTGGCAGTTAACAGCGATCTTTATCTTCTTCGGCCTTCTGGCTGTTTGGGGCAGGGCACATCTTCGGTGACCTTAGGCAGTTGTCGCGAACGGCGAACGAAAAAAAAAAAAAAAAAGGACGTCCTCCTCCCCCTCCTCCGCTCCTCCTCTTCTTCTTCTTCTTCTTCTTCTTCTTCTTCTTCTTCTTCTTCTTCTTCTTCTTCTTCTTCTTCTTCCTCCTCCTCCTTCTTCCTCCTTCTTCTTCCTCCCCCTTCTTCCTCCTCGTTCTTCCTCCTTCTTCCGTCACATCTCGCCATCCATCCCACCATCCCATCTCGCCATCCATCCCACCATTCCATCTCGCCATCCATCCCACCATCCCATCTTGCCATCCATCCCTTCTTCCTCCTCCTTCTCCTTCTTCTTCCTCCTCCTTCCTCCTTCTTCTTCCTTCTTCTTCTTCCTCCTTCTTCCTCCTCCTCCTTCTTCCTCCATCTTCTTCCTCCTTCTTCTTCCTCTTCCTTCTTCCTCCTTCTTCCATCACATCTCGCCATCCATCCCTCCATCCCATCTCGCCATCCATCCCTCCATCCCATCTCGCCATCCATCCATTCTTCCTCCTCCTCCTTCATCCTTCTTCTTCCTCTTCCTTCCTCCTCATTCTTCTTCCTTCTTCTTCTTCCTTCTTCTTCTTCCTACTTCTTCCTCCTCCTCCTTCTTCCTCCATTTTCTTCCTCCTTCTTCCTCGTCCTTCTTCCTCCTTCTTCCATCACATCTTGCCATACATCCCTCCATCACATCTCGCCATCCATCCCTTCTTCTACCATCCCATCTCGCCATGCATGCAGTAGACATCACAGCAGCAGGCAACAAACATGCAGAGTCCCCAACACTGCACATATCAGATGACCTGCATTCAGCATTCAACTTCTTCTTCTTCTTCTTCTTCTTCTTCTTCTTCTTCTTCTTCTTCTTCTTC